AGTAAAACCAAAAAATCTCCATTAACTTCAAATGATCTGCAAGCTGTTTCTCCACTTCCAATGGGAAAGTGGTCTTTTATCTTCCCAATCCTTTATTTTTGGCTTTTAGGATTTTGTTTTTGTTAAGCGCGTATCTTCTTAAAGTTGCCTGAGGAACTCCGAACGTTTTAGCTGCCCTCAGCTATCCCATTTCATTTTTCTTCACAGCATCAATTGTCTTTGCCATTGATAATTCACTTCAGCTTTGCCGTTCGGAAGTTCTCTTGTAATTGCGCGTCATTATTTTCAACCTGCAAAAAATATGGGTAAAATGACATAGTATGTCATTTTGGACGTTGTTGGTATATGTCGTTTTGTACATAACTGATCTATCAAACTCTAAACTGAATTAAAACAAAACCGTTATATCCATTCACGAATTATTAATAGGCATGGTAAATCAAACAGGTAAGCAATGCCGAATAATGATCAAAACTTATTTTAAAATAAAAATACTTACCTTATTGACGAAATACGAGAACCCGCGTAAAAACTCAAACTCGGCAAAATCACGTGGTACGTCGACCTGCTCGTAACGATGCGTGGAGCATACTAAATTTTCGGCAGCATACTAAATTTTCGGCAGCATGTCCTATGTTCTAGGTTACCTAGCACGCCTTCAACGGTGAGTGTATGTACTATAAACGTATTAGCCGCGAAAAATAAAATGCTATGTAGTTTTACCCGTATATGTCATTTTGTACATATTTCCCTGCTTGGGGCATTGGCCTAGAAGTAATTAAATATTGTTCCTGTGCGTCTGGTTACATGTTTTGTGTTGATTGACTTTTATAATGATCAAAATATTAAATAGATAATAGAAACAACAGTAACTCCAGGAAAAAATGAAACTACTAAATGTACATTATGTCCAAAAAGAAAAAACGTAAAACAAACACAAAATGCAGTCAAGTAAACTGTTCTTCGCCCATTTGGGGCGAACGCACTAAATATATTTGTATCAAATGTTGGGGATAGGTAGGACAAGGAATTCATTGTAGGACAAGGAATAAATTCTTTTAAAACCGAACCAAAAATTGATTAAATTATAACCAAATTTATGTGGGACCACCCCTGAGACACTCCCTTTCTAACCAAAAAGAATCCTAGAAATTGGACAATGCGGTAAAGAATTATTACTGAACATACATAAAAAAAGTATTCCGATGAATTGAAGTAAATCATTTTTGAAATTGATTTAAAATAGTATTTACTTTTATAAAACTATAGATTTTTTAAAATTTTAGTTATTAGTAGAATACATTTAAAGAAAATGAAGTGAGAAAGCCGGTTTAGATCTGAAAAACAAAATGCAATTTGGAAATTCTGAAAAAGGAAAATCCCTAAGGCTCTCTACGATATTATGAAAATTATACCTTTATATCCGAAAGTGAAAACAAACCAAAGAAAAATTAAAAAAGCTGAGAATTAAAGATAGAAAAACAGGTGCGAAACTGGGAGCAAAACCTGGAACTTTGAAATTGGGCCGCTGTCGCGATAACCAATTAGGCCACCTTAGCACATACGTTTTGATGTCCGAAATTGTAAACTTGAAGATATAAGATTCAGACTCCCATTGTTACACACTAATTCTCTTCCCATCTAAGCTCTTTAAATTATTCTTAAATTTGTGAGTGTGAGGTTAGTGGGAAGAGGACGTGCCAAAAGGAAACATTTATTTCTTAATTTGCCGACGTTTCGACGTTTATTTTTCGTCTTTTTCAAGGCTGAAAATACATAATAGATTTTTATAAAAAAGAAAATTGTAAAAACTATGAGATTTACATAGATGTCAATATTATAAATGGTATGTGTATCATTTCACTAATTGTTCTTTTGTAATAGTTGGATTCTTTATCAACAATTATAACGTTGTCAAAGTCAAATTTGTGCGTTTGATTAAAATGATGTAAAGCTAATGCGGTCTTTTCTACCTTATTTTATTTTTTTTCCCGACAGTCATATTTGTGTTGGTATATTCTGTTTTAAAGATATTGTTTTGTAATACCAATGTAGCATTTTTCACAGCCTTCACAGTAAATTTGAAAACAGGGATCTACACTGGTTAATAGGGTAAAACGCTAACATTGTGTTTTCACAACCCTTCGTAATTTCAAAACATCTTTTAATTTTCTGGGACAGTCCCTGTATAAATGGAAATCGAAAATACACTTTCTTTTCTTGGATTTCACTGTTTTGATTGCAAATTAGTTTTGTATTCATTGATTACTCTGTTTATAAGACTTAATGGGTAGTTGTTAAGTTTTAAATTATTCCTAATTTTTCTTCATTTGCTGTGTAGAATTCTGGGCTACTCAGATGGTAAGACCGGAATAGTAAATTTTTAATTGTACCTATTTTATGTTGCATCGGATGGTTTGAGAAATAGTTCAGAATCCTCCCTGAATTGGTGGGTTTGTCTTATAAACAGAGTAATCAATGAATACAAAACTAATTTGCAATCAAAACAGTTGAGTGAAATCCAAGAAAAGAAAGTGTATTTTCGATTTCCATTTATGCAGGGACTGTCCCAGAAAAAGATGTTTTGAAATTACAAAGGATTGTGAAAACACAATGTTAGCGTTTTACCCTATTAACCAGTATAGATCCCTATTTTAAAATTTAAAAGATGAAACGCCCGATCAATTAAAATCCAATATAGTGTACAAAATTAACTGTGAAGGCTGTGAAAAATGCTACATTGGTATTACAAAACAATATCTTAAAAACAGAATATACCAACACAAATATGACTGTCGGGAAAAAAATGAAAATAAGTAATTTATAATTACTGTAACGATTTGTAAAATTTAAAAATAGCTTATTTACTAAAACAGTTTATTTATAACATACTAATTAATTTATTAAATACTTAGGCATCATAACTCACAATTCTAATTTATTTGTTACAATTTATCTTTACTATACAACACTTATATTGAATCTTAACGTCTACCAACAAAGTCGCGCTATTTATACAAAAATAAAACACTCTAGAAAGAACCAACTCTGACTATAATCTCAGTCTAGAAGTTTTGTAAATTATCCTTCACGTGTAAGACTGCGATAGAAAACATTCAATTCTGTTTCTCGAGTCTCCAGATGAGTTTTGATATGGCCAGCGCTAAACCTCCTGTCGCGGGTACGGCAGTAAACAAAGAACAGAGTTGGCTTCAGGCGATCTCGCGACATTACATTAGAACTAATTATCTAAGATCCTTCATTTGTTCAGCAGTATTAAGTACGGTTTTCATAATCTTAAAAAAAAGTTGTCTTTATTATGAAACCCGGGAAAGCGTCGTACACGGATACCAAATCTTTTAGACCAATCAGCCTAACATCATTTCTCCGATATATCGATACCAGTTTACCTACCAATCTGGAAACTCTTGCGATGTATCCATACAAAGGCTAGCTCAAAAGGATGAGCAAGCATAGGAAAACAAATAAATAGCACTAGGAGTTTTCCTAGACATAGAAGAAGCCTTTGATTCGGCCTCGTACAATTCAATAACGGGATCTATTTATCGGCGTGGCGTAGCATACTGCATTACGCAGTGGGTTGAGTTCATGCTTAATCATAGAATCATTACCTTTAACAAAACACGAGAACTCTTCTCAGTTAACAAGGGATGTCCAAACTCATTTGGACCTTCTGGAAAAATAAACTCACTAAGTTTGTTGGACCTCCCCAGATAGCACAGTCACGTTTTAAAGACATCTTAAAGACGTTTGTTCACGACATTCATGTCATTTTGAAGATGTACGCTAATATCCAAAGGATGTTTTAAGAGCGTCTATAGGACGTGCATTGTTACAAAACAATGCGTCTTTAGGACATCCAATTTTGTACGTCTTTAAGACAAACGGTGTTGGACGTCTATTTACTTGATGAAAATTCATTTAAAAAATAAATAAATAAATAAATAAATACTTGTCTATTATATTTGATACTGTTTATTATACATTATTAAACTATTAAAACTGACACATAGAGTAAATATTATTTTACAGTGTTGGATAAAATAATTAGAAAATGACTTCAAGTACTTGTTGGTTGCTTTAAAAACTTTTTTTATGGTATTATTTTTTTTTAAATAAGACATTATTAAAGTGAGGTTATGAAAGTAAAAGGCAAATAAATTAAAACTTACCGTTTTTAATGATAAAGTTTACTAGTTCCGTTGTACCATGGTTCCAATAATGGTATATAAATAATGTAAAAAGACAATACTTATATAAAAACACACAACCACGAAAAAGTAATGAAAATGTCCACAGACCTACGCTAAAAATATTATACAATGGCTCTCCCGAAAAAAAGGCAGCCAGAGGAAGAACACGACGTGATAAGCGCGCGCGAGACTATGCAATCAGTCAATGCCAATGACGAATGACATCGTACATGCGCTGCAGGAAGCGCCAAAAACGTTTTTGTGGCGCCATATTCAAATATAGCGGAAAGAGTTGAACGTCCACATTACCGACATATTTAAGACGACCTAAAAACATCCCAACAAAGACATTTTAAACATGTCCTGAGTAGGGCATCTTAAAACCGTCAGTTTTACGTACTAGGACGTTTGGACCAAAGTAAGACATGAGCTGGACGTCTTTAAGATGTATTGTGCTCTCTGGGTTTAATTAAAGTAAAAAATTATTGACCATATTATTACGTATATATTACGTAAAAAAAACGATACGATATTGACGTAACATTTATAACGGCTCTGAGACGTCATTTCTAGGTAATGAGACGTTCGGAACTAATTACATAATTATATAACGTCACAGTGACGTCAGTGTGCTATCTGGGGTACATCTAAAGTCATTTTGAGCGTTTGATAAGTTACTTTCTTTTCTATAGATCGCAATTCCCGAATTTTTTGCATGCAAACCATCAGGATAAGCAATCGTTATAAGTATTTATTAGAGCAAAAGCTTAAAATGAAACTGTGTAGTAAAAGCTTTGAGCTGGTTTTTTATTTTATAATCTAGAATTGTTACTTTTCAGTATAGTTTTAATACAAAAATAGCAAAATATATTTAGAACTGTGGCTTAGCATTTATAATTTTAATAAACTCCTTTTTAAGTGACGCTTCACCCACTAAAAACCCATCAACGTTCGGTTGTCTTGCTAATTTCTTGCAATTTTTACCGGTTACCAATCCACCATATAGTATTTTTACACAATCCCCAACTTCTGGACAAACGTTTAAACATATCCATTCTTTAAGGGCGCAATGGATTTCTTCAACTTGCTCTGGGGTCACAGTTTTACCTAAAATAAACAGTTCATATATTTTTTAAGCAATATTTATTGATTTTAAGGATTAATCATATTTAAATTTGAACGAATTAATTAAGGATGGGTATTTTTCTTAAACATGCTGGTTTAAAAAATAACAAATTTGATTCACTGTATTGTGGAACATGGTTAATCTTGTGATATAATAGTTGACATGTCTAACTTTAATTTTATATTTAATTCTAGAAGATTTGTTTTCAATACATGATTCTTAAGATGTTAAAAAAGCCAGCTTTAATATTTGACGGAGTGATATCTGTATCTGTAACTTGTGTAAGATGGATTAATCCACGGCACTTACGCCTCACTACTATATTCGGACAAAATATTGGAGAAGGTGAGTCATATACATGATCAACACTGTTGTCTATGAATGAAAATTCCGACAGTCAGCATAGACGCCGTATCAAATACCAAATAATTATTTATTATTTATTAGGTATTTGTTAGTGAACTTTATTAAATTTGTTTGTCAACATCTTTATTTAAACAAAGATGATGCGTTAAATATACGTTTTTGATAGTTTTCAAGAAATCAATATATTTATTCCCTAATGACTTCGTTATCTGTGTTTAATGGTTTTAAAATGTGTTTCAAGTAAATAAACGACAGACGGTTTACAGATTGAATATTGTCAGCACAGGCACAAAGACAGTTGAAAACTAACTTTCGACGAAGTTAGATTTGTATCGCTTTAACTATTTACGATAATTATTTTATATTTTATAAACACTTATAAGTGCTCTTTTCTGATATACGAGTAGGTGTTTATGTTTATGCCTTATAATTTGGTAGTGGTAGTGCATATTCGAGGAGTTATATTTATTGTGTAATATATTAGGTAGGTACTTTAAAAGTTTATTAAATAGTAAAATATTGGTGTCTTTATAAATTTAATAAAAACAATTTAATAGTAGAATTATATTGTTACAATAGTAATGGATTCAGAGGCGGGTCCAAGTGAAACCCAATTACGTCGGCGAAAGCCCTTATCAAAGGATGAAAAGAACATTATATGGAAAGTGTATGATGGGCTGAAACAGACACTTCCTACAAATGAAGCTGTAAAGCGCAGTTCTTTTTTAACTGGAGTATCTTTTCAACAATTGAACGTATTGTACGCGAAAAGACAAAAAGGCTCCTTAGAAGCCCCTAAAACGCATACCCGTGGTCGAAAATTGTTGAAATTGAACGATAACCAAAAACAAATCATTCGAAGAACTGTACATTCTTTTTTTTTTTTTTTTTTTCGAAAACAAAGCCTCAACACTTAAAGTTGTTCTTTTTTTTTCTCTCTCCTGAGCTCGTCTGACTATGTGTCTCCGAATAACACTGAAGCCTATTGGCTTATTGTGTTTTACCCCATGTTAGTTTAGCACCCACTCTATCACCTTTGTACCTTGTACAAGTTTGTACAGATCCTTGGGTGAGTGGGTTCTATACGTTGTTGGATCAACCTGGGGTTGTCCAAAAAGAGCCTGTCTTTTGCGATCTAGAGCTTCGCATTCGCACAGTATGTGTTTGGCCGTTTCTGGTTTCTTGTGACATAGTCGGCACATGAGTTCCCCATTGTACATGCCAATTTTGTTCAAGTGTCCCTTTACTGGGGCGTGCCCAGTCATAAACCCTGTTATCACTTTCAACTGGTTCCTATTCATTAAGAGTAGTTCTCCAGTTCTTTTGGGACATGGTCTGCCTATGAAGGCTTTTCCATGTGCCTGTTTTGGGGTGCTTCCCCAATAGTTGATATGTTGTTCCCGAATCCAGTCATTTATAAAACCCCGGACTGTACTTTTTGGTACTCCTGGGTTTGTGTCTGGTTCCGGTGTTTCTTCTGACCCTCTTTTTGCAAGTTCGTCAGCCTTTTCGTTGCCTTCGATCCCTTTGTGACCTGGCACGCAAAATAGTTTTACTCTATTACGGTCTGCCAGTGTTCTTAGTTCTTCGATGCATTCCCATACCAGCCTCGACGTAACTTTCTGACTCGATATGGCCTTAAGTGCCGCTTGGCTGTCTGACATTATTTGAATATGCTGATTTTAGACAGCTCTTTCATTGTTCGTTTCTGCACATTGCAAAATTGCGTATACCTCGGCCTGAAATACCAAGGAATGTATTCCTATAGCATAGCTATGGTTAGTATCAGGGTTTTTGGAGAATACTCCTGCCCCAGTGCCTTCCGCAGTCTTAGACCCGTCTGTATACCAGGTTTGTTCCTGTCGTTGGGCATTGGGCTCCCTTATGGTGATCTCCGCTCTTTAATGTATTAAAACCTCAAAGGGAGTATTAAAAGAGTACCTCTTGGTTAAGTGGTCTGATCTCATGTCTAGCACGTCTCCTGTCGCTAACCTTGAGATACTCATGTGACCTGGCCTAATGTCAAGATTTCCCAGTGTATTCCCTAATCTGTAAGCACCTAATCTTGCCTCCCCTTGTATCACATAGTGAAGAGGTGGGAGTCCTATTAGTGCTTCCATTGCAGCAGTGGGGGTTGTTTTCATTGCCCCCGTTATTCCGAGGCAGGCAAGTCTTTGTACCTTGCTAAACCTCGTTATTGCTTTCCTTTGCTGTGTCTTTGGCCACCACACCAAAGCTGCGTATGTTATTATGGGTCTCACCACCATGTTATAAATCCAATATACCATGTCTGGTTTTAACCCCCATTTTTTTCCAAAGGATCGCCTTGCCATCATTAATGAGGTTTCCGCTCTCCTTGTGGTTCTTTCTAGATGCTGGTTCCAGGTAAGTCTCGAGTCAATCATAACCCCAAGATATTTTACCTCCCCCTTAAGCTAGATGCTTGCACCTCTTAGGTTTAGAGGCCCTAGTCCCGCCAATTTCCTCCTGCGGGTGAATGCAATTATGTCAGATTTGTTTGGGCTAATGTTTAGTCCTTCCGCCTCTGTCCATTTTGTTACTATATTTAGAGCCTCTTGCATTCGATCTCTTACTATAGTGTTGTATTTTCCCTGTGCTATGATCACTAGATCATCGGCATATCCCAGGGTTCTATGTCCCTTATCTTTGAGAGCCCTAAGCAGCCCGTCCACTACAAGGTTCCACAGGAGTGGAGACAGCACTCCACCCTGTGGACATCCTCTCGCTACCCGTGCCGCTGTTGTCTCTCCCATAAGGGTTGTGTGTATAGTTCTCTCCCTTAACATAGAGTCGATCCAGGACACGCATGTGTCCTCGATTCCTCTGTGTTTGAGAGATCTAATGATCGATTCAACGGAGGTATTGTCGAATGCACCCTCGATATCCAAGAATGCTCCCAGCATTACCTCCTTGTTTTCCAGTGTGTTCTCCACCCTTTTTATTAGTTGATGGAGAGCTGTTTCAGTTGATTTCCCTGCACTATAGGCGTATTGGTCTTGGTATATTGGCCTTTGAACCAATATCCCGTCTCTAATATGCCTATCTAGCAGTTTTTCCAAAGTCTTAAGTACGAAGGACATAAGACTTATTGGTCTTAGGGACTTTGCCGTTTCCTGTCCCATTGTTGTTCTTACGAAATTAAGAGAAAACGAAGAAATTCCATTAATGAGCCGTGAAACTTTACGAAAAATTTTATGGGGCCTAAAATTTCGTTTTGTCAAACGGCGTAGGAAATCAATTTTAATTGAGAGGTCAGATATAGTGTCCTGGCGACGTCATTATTAACGAAATATTAAAGAGTTTAAAGCCGCTAAAAACAGATATACTCTCTCGATGAAACGTGGGTGAATGCTGGACACACGGTATCTAAGATATGGTAAGATACTTCTGTAACTAGTCATCGCCAAGCTTTTATAGAGGGATTAACTACAGGTTTGAAAGCACCATCAGGTAAAGGACAGCGCCTAATTGTCACCCATATCGGAAGTGACAGTGGATTTTTGGAAAATAGCGCTCTTGTGTTTATATTGAAAATAACAGGAGACTACCATGAGGACATGAATGCGAAATGCTTTGAAAAATGGTTTACTGAAGTATTACAGCGTCTAGAACGAAATTCAGTTATTGTACTAGATAACGCTTCTTATCACAGTCGACGAGTTGAACGCATTTCGATAATGTCCAGTAGAAAAGCGGATATGCAAACCTGGCTACGGGATAAAGCAATAACATTTACTGAGGAGATGCTTCAAGTGGAATTAATGGACCTAATAAAGGAACACCGCAATAAATATATTCAATATGTTGTCGACACAATGGCTCGTGATCATGGTATTACGGTATTAAGACTTCCCCCTTATCACTGCGAATTCAATCCTATTGAACTAATTTGGGCGCAAGTCAAAGGGTTTGTAGCTCGAGAAAATAAAACTTTTAAAATAGCCGACGTTCAAAGTTTATTAAAAATTAGTATAGAACCTATAAAACCTGAAGATTGGCAGAATGCTTTTTCCCATGTAATTAAGAAAGAAAATAATATATGGCGCTTGGACGGTATGATCGAAACGGTAGTTAAACCTTTAGTCATAACTTTAAGTTCCGTCGATTAAGACGATTCCAGTGATAGTTCTGCAGAATCAATGGATTACGAAACTTGATAGATTTAGAATTCAAGTAAGTGATACCAAGCTTAATTTACATATTTTTATAATAAACAAAATACAATTATAAACATAGATGAATTATTATAATAAAAATAGATAACCAACCTACTTTCATCTAGTAATATTCACAAATACTCATTTAATTTGCCAATATAGTATTTCTGCGACACTGGAAGAGTGAATTGTGATATGATAACGATACTTTTTGCAGTTTTAAGGCACACCTTTTTCAATATTTTGTTCTAGTATAATACCCCATTTAATTTTCCAATAGTGTTTCTACGCCACTTACATAATATTTACATATTTTAACAATAAACAAAACAAAATTATAAACATAAATGAGTATTACTACAAAAATAGATAACCAACCTACTTTCATATAATATTATTTACTATTACCGCATTTAATTTGCCAATAGTTTTTATAC